ACTCCCCTAGCTGACCCACTTGTATTTATTCAAAAACATAGAGTTACAGAAAAGACCATTTTGTCCCTCATAGAAGATGGGACACATAACTTAAACTCAGATACAATAGACCTTTCACTCTCAAGTAGATAATCCAGAATGACCAAAATGCCCCTGACTCGAGCATTCTAACAGACTTGTTAAATGATAAAAGACCATAAATTATTTGAAACAAATACCAAGAATAATCTATTGATGAAAGCTGAGAGTTGGAAAGGATAGTTGGGATAATCTCTTTTTGATCCTTTTAAATGGAGATTATAGAACAAATAGGAGAGACAGCCATCTGCCCATCTTCAACTTAGATATTTTCTTTTATAATCTCGATTCCCCCCCAAAACAAAACCTGAGCCAATCTATTAAATAAAGAACAAAAAGACTTTTTCTCTAAGAATTTCTTTACACTAATATTTAAGTACTATGTTAAGTTAATAATATCAAATGACATAATTTTTTTTTTGAGACAAGGTACAACAAGATGATGTACACAGGGACTGATAAAAAAACTGCCCTGGCAGCAAATAAGCAGTCCAGACAAAATAAGCAACTTTTGAAGGGACATTCTTGCACCAAATGGTGTTTGGTAGGAACTAACAGCTCTACTGTAATGGCTAAAGCATGCATTATAGAATGATTTGACAATAAACTTTCCCACCTTGTCCCATTGCCAAACTCTACAATCAGCCCTCTCAATTTCTGCTTTTATGTTATATAGCATATGCATCATTTCCACCGTTGCGTCCACCTCCCAGTCATTTAAATTCCTTCTAAATTGAGGAAGCCACACCACTTTTCCATCTTGCAACTGCATACAGTTGGCTACTTTAGATTCTTTATCCACTGCCACCTCAAAGATATCAGGAAAAGCATCTGCCAGTGGCCTTTATGCACACCAAGCATCCTTCCAAAATTTCACCCGCATTCCATCCCCAATCTTGAGTTACACCCCCTTTGCAACAATAAGCCTTCTCAATTCCTTTCCAGATTGAGCATCTGTAGGACTGACTGACAGCTCCTGGAACCCACCCCATATTTCTATCATCATATTTGGCAAGGATCACTCTCCTCCACAAATCCCCTTGATTTTCCCTAAAATGCCCACGACTTTCCTAGTAGGGCAGTATTACTATCCTTTACTCTTCTCACCCCCAAACCACCTTGGGTTTTTGGTCTATAGTACAGACATTGTTCCAATTGACCAGATGGAATTTCTTCTCTTCTTTCCAACCTCTCCAAAGGAAGTCCCTCATTTTCTTTTCTAAGATATTTGCTATTCCTATTGGAGAGGTATTTTGTTTTCCAAGAGGTGAGCTTTTTCTCAACTCTTTCAACAATTGGCTCCCAAATAGATTTAGAGTTGCACCTTGCACCCAGAGGTATTCTTAGGTATTTTAAAGGTAACTTCCCCACCTTACATCCCCATTCTTCTGCCCATTGGGTTAGCTCCTGCACCTCCCCCACAGATACCAACTCACTTCTATGCAAATTTACTTGCAGACCTGAAACAATTTCAAACCACCTAAGCAAAGCCACTACATTATGCACTTGCTCTTTGAACGTAGCACAAAATAGGAGTGTATCATCAGCATACTGGAGAAGAGCTACTTCCACTCTCTCACTCCCCATTGTAAAACCTCTTCTAGTCACCCTTTTCACCAATCTTCTGAGAGCTTCCGTAGCAATATTAAATAATATATGCATTCATACAACATTTTCATACATATATACACGCAGACATGCATAAGGGGCCATGTGATGTTTTTATATTTTGATATCATGGTGTTATAACATTAGATTAGACTTACTAAACTAAATTATTCATTTTGTGGGTTTGTAATATTTTTATATTTCTTATACTAGTTTCTTTTTACTATTTTCTTGTTTGTTTTGGGTCAATCAACACACAAGCCCATAAATGTTGTCACGAACCTTTTTAAGACTCTAAAACCTGAAGTGATAAGGAAGGAAGAACTTAAGGATTTTATCCAATCAAAATACAAAAGCAACTGAGAGATCTACCTTTTTTCTTTTTCTTCTTCTTCTTCTGCCCCTTCTTTTTTTATACCAAAAACAAAGGCTCCTCCCCTTCCCCATTTTATTTTCTAATTTTTTTAATTTCTTTTTTCTAAGATAACCTTCTTCTAGGTTTTCTTTCCTTTCCTTTTCTTTCTTTCTTCTTGTAAGTCATAAATATGTTGATTTATATGAGATTAATACTTATTTCATGAGGATTATTGGAAACTATTAGTTAAAGATAGTTACTGGTTCCTATAAAACCCAGGAACTACCCTAGGATTTGTATTTTTATTTAAAAGAAAAACTCACATCCCTAGCTTCACCTTGGCACCTCGAAAAATCCCAGGTTTATGTTTTGTTCTCTTGTAATTTGACATCTCCATAACAGACTAGACCCTGATGCATTTTCTACTTATAAACCAAAGGACCAACATGAACCCTCAAAATTTATTTGTTTATAAATATTAATTATAAGATGCACTAAAGAATGGAATGGTGAAACAGGATTCATGTAGCCAAATGCATATAGTTGGGACTACGCTTAGATGATGATGATGAAATATTAATTATAAGATGCACTAAAGAATGGAATGGTGAAACAGGATTCATGTAGCCAAATGCATATAGTTGGGACTACGCTTAGATGATGATGATGAAATATTAATTATAAGATGCATACTCTTATAATTTCATTAGTGATGCTAACTGAATGTTATGGGAGGATTCACCAGGCCCAAAAATATCAATGATGGTACTAGTTGAAAGCTGATACAATGATGCTATCAGGCAGAGCAATAAAGGATACATCACATGAAAATGAACACATACCATTACAAGCCTGTCTAATACCAAAGATGTAATAATTTCAGCAAAAAATGCAGAAAAGGAGAACTTTTTAACTTTGTATTTTGAACTGCAATGCTCAGGCATATTTACCACTTCTTGAAGCTTCAAAGGGGGTCCAGAGAGTGATCTCCATTGGGGAAAGAACTCTTCTGCAGCCACAGATATAGGCTGAAGAAATTTATTCAAGACAGCTGGAAGGCGAAGCTTGACATTGACCTATAGAAAGGAAAAACAAAGATATAAGGATTAACAAGAATACACCCTTTAGATTAGAATGCTGATATGCATATCTAGAACCAACCATTATAGTTCCAAATTTATAAGAGAAATCAAGAACAGCTACATCCCTGCTGGGGCGAAGATTCACAACTTCAAGTGGGCATTGCACCTAGACAAAGGCATAGAAATAAAACCAGAAATAAAAAATCCCAACAGATCAGTAAACCAAAGAACAAATATTTGTTTAAAATGTATGGTAGTCTCAACCTGTGCCCTTGGAGGAATTGTTTCTGGTACTAATGAGAGCTCCATCTTCAAATGGGAGGGAGGCAATATCAGAGCTTGAACAGAAACAAGTGGAGATGTATTCTTATTACCCAAGAATAGCACAAGCCGACCATGGTGGGCCTGCCATTCTGCTTTCACGCCAATCTAAGCACAAACATTTTAAACCTTATTATCGAATATGCAAGAAAAAATAGATTAAAAAGAGTGAAAATTTTTTACTGTGGTGGTAGACAAATTTAAGAAGAATACCACCACAGGTAAGAAGCTCCACAACAAAGCAATAAAATGAGCTGATAATTAGAATCCTCAAATGATGGAAAACCTGAATATAAGGGTCTTCGTACAGCACACCACTATCCTTAAGGCATAAAGCACGAAACCTTTCAGCAATATTTCCAATTGGCTGCAAACATGTATCAACAGAGTTAGCTCGTTGAGCACATAATTTGATAAGAAGAAAGTGATCTCATTTTTCCCAGTGCGTGGAAGATGAGCCTAACCTACTAACCACAGAAAAGCTGAACAATAATAGTAGCTATTTAACGAAGTTTTTCTAAAATTTGGCCATGGCAGACCATCAGTGTTCATCTATAATGGACATGACTGGAATTCTATCACATCACTGTTAATCTATCATATTTCAGTTGTTCCCAGTTGTTGATGTTGTTGTTAATGAAAAGATTGAACTTTAAGTATGAAAAGCAAAACCATGCAAGTATCATAAGATAAAACATCCTCCAACAAAATATAAATAAATTATACATTTACTCATCCCTGAGATACTCTCTCCTAAAAGCTATAGACCCAACAGCCCATACTTCTTTACATCATATACACCATTCTTCTAAGAAAAACCAGAATGTCCACAAACCCTAGACACAAACAACTGCCCTTTGTCCTAAAAAATTCTTCTGGAATGTTTTCCCCAATAGAATTCTATATACATGTGTACAATTATCAAGTAGTATCAGCTCTAAGCCTCACATTTCACATTCACCATCTTCACAATAGAAAAAAGAAAAAAAGAACAAGAAAAGAAAAAAAAAATTCATATTTCTTTCTTCCCACGCACACCATCATCACTGCATGGATAAGGGCCTTCGAGTGGACCTTCCCTCTTGAGCAGCCATAGGCTTGCACTCCCCACTCAGAAGATTGTATTCAGAAATGAATTTGATCCTGGTTTGAAATGAGTTGTGGTTACACTGAACCCACCCTTATGGAGTGGGCAGGGCAAAAGAAAGTGGGAGCAGACAGGAAGCAAGACAAGATAAAGGAAAAGAATAAATAAATAAAAAAATAAAACAATTGTGTAATCAGCCATGAAATAATCAGGAGAGAAGAGAGGAAAGAAGAAGAAGAAGAGAGAAAAATAGAAGAAGTCGAATTGTGTTAGTGGCTGCACCCACTTCACCCTAACATCTTAACAATAATAATAATTACAGAGTAGTCCCTTGAAAAAAAAGACTAATTACAGAAAACCCCTAGCATCATTAACATATACAAAAAACACCCTTAACAACACTCCCCCTCAAGTTCAGTTGTAGATATCATGCATACCCAACTTGATACATAGCTCTTCATGGTGCATGGAATTCAATCCTTTCGTAAATACACAACCACTTGATCTCTTGATTCACAAATGGTATACAAATTTCACCCCTTTCTACTTTTTCCCGAATGAAGTGCTTGTCAATTTCAATGTGCTCGGTTCGCTCATGGAGAACCAGGTTATGAGCAATACTAATAGCAGACTTGTTATCACAGTACAATGACATAACATCTAACTTCCACATACCTAGCTCGGTAAGGAGGTTTTTTAACCATAACAATTGAGCAACACCCTGAGACATATCTCTATACTCGGCTTCTGTACTTGACTTTGCCACTACAGACTGTTTCTTACTTCTCCAAGTGACAAGATTTCTTTCTACAGACTACTGGAAGAGGCAGGCTATCCAATTACAATCCTGTTTGTATATTCTCAGAAGGTTGGATCAAAGCTCGAAAGAAAGAGGCACAAGAAAAGGAACCAAAGGGTGTTAGAGTCCTTTTTTTTTTTGATCAATAGTTAGAGTCCAAATTCTACTATCTGGTTTAGTAGGGTCCAAGAAAACCACTTGTAATAGGTGGAGCAAATCCAAAACAGAGTCTAATTCTAAAAGGCGACTGGGCTTAGTCACAGGCTGGAATAGGGAATATGGAAATTTGCCAATGAAAAAATAAGTTTAGGTGGTTGAACAGGGACTTGGAGATAAAACTACAGTGGGTAAAGAGGCTGCTAATTCCTTTGCAGACACTTGAAAAACAAGGGGTGGGAAGGGAAAAATTGTTTTGGGCTTTGTTGTAATTGAACATTTACTTGGGGAGGGTTAAGAGTGTTTACCTCTCCCCATGTGTTTTCATATATCTGTTTATAATCTTTACAAAAGTTCAGTTATTGATAAAGAAAGAGGAATCACCTGAACAGAATTTGACTGTTCTTCAAGAGGAGCAAGTGCTAAGGCATCAGATGAATTTGAAACACCCTCTAATCCTGATATAAGATTTTGGTCATCTGGGGCAGCAGCGCTTGGAGGACCTTCAATAGCCAGTGGACCCAAAAGATCACTAAGGAGATCTGCTGATGGTGTAGCAGATTGGGGATCTACCCTACTTAAAGTTCCATTGACCTCAGTCAATCCTCGGTCTGCCGTGTTAGCTTCCTGTACATATGCTCAAATTCATATCAAACCTCAACCATGTCACTAATGGAACATAACCTCTAATGCAAATGGGAGGGGGGAACAAGATCATACCGCATTATTGTTGATACTGGGCACCTTGACAGGTAACGATCTATTAGCAGGGCGTTGATCAGTCACAACCAAAGCATTTGAAGTATGCTGCTGCTGCTGGGCACGCAACTTGATAGCACTTTGCTCCGCAGTATCAATTTCAGTATCTTCAGCTTTTTTAATCAAAGCAGACTAATTTTTTGTATAAGTCAGTATAGTTCTTGAAAATGAAAAGCACTCCAAGCTTTCAATAGTTTATGATAAAACTGGAGTCATTTTCATTGTATTTTTTTCTCCTTGAAGATTAAACAGAAGGAAAGCCCCATGTGATAATGGTGAACCTTTTTGTAAATGAATTGATATACATACCTGGCGCTCAGGAAACTTTGGCATTTCAGCCAATATATCCATTAAAGCTACACCCTTCTTACTTAAAGTAAAATACTCAACAGCTCTTTGTTGTATCTCAGCATCAATGCAACTCTCATACCTGAAAAGAATGAAAAATGACTTTAAGCATCTGACAAGTAGCATTAACAAAAAGGCATGAGAAGTACCACCCTATAAAAATAAAGGAAAACTAATATAAAGCATATAAAGAGTAAACCTCACTTGTTGAATATTGCCCAAATGTGATCTTGTAGTTCTGGATCAGGGGGCTGAGTGTGCATCAAGATCTTAGCATATGTGGAAAGAAGAATCGCAATTGTAGAAATCCTGGAAAATATACAATTTTATGATATTGGATTTGATTAGAAAAGCCTTAAAATTTGTCATAAAAGTAAAGAAAGAACTGATATCAGTAAGCGACCACAAGAGGTTCAAAGGTGAAGATATCTTACGATACAGTAGGAAGTTTCTCATGTAAGACGCTAAAGATTTCCTTAGGACTACAACCGGGCCTTCTTGCCAAAAGGTGGCTGTACTCCCCAAGTATATATGCGCTGACCTGTTGCACAGTTTCCAGTTTGATGAGCAATGAGTTGCTTATATTTTTAATGTTATTAGTTTCCAGTTGTTTAGATTTTAATGTGGCTGTACTTGCCATATATTTATTCATTACAAAATTGCATTCCAGATTTGGGCAAGGATGTTTGCTTTGTTTGGGGCTCAACTGTGCCTGTCAGGGACTGTTAAGGAGCTTTTAGATGCATGGAAAATAGGGGTCTGAGTAGGGGTGGGAAGATCATGTGGAAAATGGTCCCAACTGCAGTTGTGTGGTCCATTTGGGGAGAAAGGAATGCACATATCTTTGCAAACAAAGTTATGGAGGATTACTTGGTCCCTAAGAAGATCATTGGGATGCTGCTGTCTCGGGTGGCTAGTCATGATGTATTTAAAGGAAGATCCTATAGCACCTTTTTTTTTTTTTTTAATTCTGACTTGATTTTCTTGTGAACAGAATGTGATACACAAGCAAATTTTTGTACATTCTCTTAATACAATATTATACTTTACCTTTTCTCCAAAAAAAAAAAACCAAAAACAATAAAGCCATAAGAATAGAACTATAATAATGCCTGACTACTTGAAAACAGCACATGCAAAATTGCAAACAAAATAGCAAACAATTTCCGGGAAATTGAGATCGAATATCCCCTTGCCTTAATAATTTAAGTTCTTAAGCATGCTGGTATGGTATATGGATGCCATGGAACATAGCAATAGCATCTATTATTCTTACAGTAATCCCCTCTTATCCTGCTATCATTAAGGCATTAAAGCATTGACAATGATGGTTGTCAAGGAGTTTGTGTCCTGAAGTGTTGTACAAAGCAACATTGCTAAAACTATAATACAGCCAATAAGTGTAAATTTAATAATAATAGGACTGCAAATCAGGCTACTATTAGGATTGGTTCAATGTGACCACTTCTGTTACCTCGGTTCAATAATTCATAACAAGGGAATATTGAATTGGATGTTGCCTATAGAATCAGAGAAGGATGGGAAAAATAGAGAGGCACATCAAGAGTCTTATGTGATACCACTTAGGTTAAAAGGAAATTTTGATAAAATGGTTGTAAGGCTAGTAATGTTGTATAGAGCAGAGTGCTGGCAGTCAATGAACAAAATGTCCAAACTCCAAAGTGGCAGACATGTGAATGTTGTGATGAATGAGTGCAAAACTAGAAAGTATAGGGTCAGAAACAAAGTTATCTTTAGGAACCTATGAGCAGCTACAATAGGTGATAAAATGAGAGGAAGTAGACTAGGATGGTTTGTTCACGTATAGAGAACACCATCTACAGCACCCATAAGAAGTTAAGAGCTGACATGTTGAAAGGGTTAGAGGAGCTAGGAGTGGACAAAAAAGAACATGAGTTGAAATAGTAAGAAATGATTTAAGCAATCATAATTTAACAATGGATATGGCACTGAACATAACAAAATGGTGAAAAAAGATTCATGTATCTGACTCCATATAATTTGGACAAGGCTTAGATGATGATGATATTGTACTTCAACACTAAGTTATCTTTAAATGCTCAATACACAATTATATTTGTGGATTCTTCTTTTGTACCCTCTACTACTACAAGAAGTAGTCAAGGCTTAGAATCTTTTTGTCAGTTGTATCAGGGATCAAACATGATGTTAGTCATATAGTTTGAGTCTGTTGAAGTTTGACCTGCCATAGAATTGTCTTGTTCGTTGACTGTAGAGTAAAGTAGACAGCAAGAAGTAGGAGAGGAAAGAAGAAAAGAGAGAAGAGAGAAAGGCTGGTTCGAATTAGGGAAAAAAGTTAATCCCTTGATTCGGCCAGACCTATTATTATATTATTGACTTATTGAAAAAGACTTGAGTGCCCTTCTTTAAGTAAGAGGCACTCGAACTAACATAACAGTACACATCAGCATTCTCAACAAGTACAAAGACTGAAATACCCCTTCACTAACACCACTAACAGAGTCCTACAATCGAGATTACTCAAAAGAAATACCAGGACCAAGAAAAACTATAGAATACATACATCTCTATAAAGGAAAGGCAATATGGAAATAATGGGCACATGAAGCACACCTTCACCATTGTTTCATGTAATGCAGGCTTGTCAAGATACTCTCTGGCCTTTACAGCTGCATACGGCTGACATGACAAAAGAAAGGTCAGGAACAAAAGTTTATGTGTATACCCATTCTCTCTCAAATATATAGTACATATATCAAATTGGAAAAGATCAAAATTCAGCATATGATTGAGATCAGAGAACCTGAAGATCATCATTGTTTGTAACGAACTGCACAACACGATACCATATGTCATCACTGACAAAATCTCCTGCCTTGTCAATCAGCTGAAGAATCACATCCACATACCTGTACAACAAAAAAAGAATAACATATCAGCTGCACAGGGTAGATTAAAACCATGTGCTTATGACATTATTATTTATAAGAGGTTCACAGGTAAATATATAAATCCATCATGGATGATCAATACAAGGTACAATGAAGCATATGAGTTGTACAAAAGGTGGACAATCACCAATATAACTGCAAAAAGCAACTAAATCCATTTACAGTAGATCACCTTCCACACCTCCAAAAAACGAAAAAAAAAAAAGAAGAAACAAAACTAAGCAACAGTAAAATTCATTAATGATGAACCCACTGCTCAAAAAGCAGCAAGTATGAGCAAAATACAACAGACTTTCACAACACAAGAACAGCTCCAGAAAGCACAGAGCTCTAACAACAAGAATGCATGAGAAATAACAAAGATTACAAGTTACCACCCAGTCCTGGACAGCCCCATTCAAGCTGATTTTTCTCTACCCCAGCCCTAGCTAAAGAGTCAACCAGGCCATTAGCAATTCCAGGCACCCAGTTGAATGAGCTATTCAATAAGGAACCCAAGTATTGTTCCTGTCTCACCATTGGCCTAACCTTCTATGGAATCATGTCCTGTTTCTTCATCCAATAGATTATAGTTTGACAGTCACCTTCCACCTCCACATTTTTTAAGCCTTTCATCCTCATTAATTCCAGCCCTTGAATTAGAGCTTTCAATTCAGCACTTAAAGAGTTATCAAACCCAATAAACCCAGAGTAGCTGAGTAGGATATTCCCATTATGGTCCCTGACAACACCCCAATACCTGAGTTTCCTGGATTCCCCAAAGATGCACCCATCAAAATTTAACTTAAGCTTCTCTGCTGCTGGTGCACACCAGCTGATCACCCTCTCTGGATTCCTCTCCTGAAAGTCAGCAAAAGTTTTCCATCTCCTTAACAAGTTATTTAGGGAAACACCTTTAAATTCTTTTCTCACCAAAGCTCAATGGGCAGCTCTAATCAGGGTGAGCTCAATTAACTCCTCCACCCCTCTTGTCTTCTCCTCAAAGATTCTGGCATTCCATTCATGCCAAAGACCCCATAGCACAGCACCCATAAAACATTGCTGCAGAATTTTTTTTTCTTTGTATAACATCTCATCCAACTCGTACTAAACAACTTTTCGATATCTGTAGGAGGCATCCAAACACACCCCACTAGAGAAAAAGAATGTTCCCACAAATCAGATGCAAAGGTACAATGCAACAAGAGAATGGTTAGTGGTTAGTGGTTTCTCCACATTTCACACAGAGGACACATACTTGAAATGATAGAATAGTTTTCCCACTTCTTTTGAAGCCTCTCACAGGTCTTAATGTTTTGAATGGTCACTTCCCAACAGAAAACCTCCACTTTAGGAGGAATAGGGCTGTCCCACACTTCTTTAACAGGAAATGGGTTCATTTCAATATGTTGATGCAATGTTTGGAGAAAAGAGGCACAAGGAAATGGGTCCATTGTACTTGCAGAGACTTCTTTCCCCCTTTCAACCTGGCAATCACCTATACCAAATTTTCCACTTTATGTTTCGAAAGCCCTCCCTTCCATTTCTTTGAAATGCCCCTCCTCACTATTCTTTTACCAATAAAGCCCTTGTCATTCCTAATTTTTAACTAATTTGACCAAAAATCCATGTTCGCTCTATCCAGACTACCTTTGCCCAAGTGGGCCCCACTCAGTTTCAAATCCCCTCCACCTTTCTCTGCAGCTTGTGCCTCTACACCTTCCTTCCCCAAAACACATCTCTTGAATTCCTTTCTCCTTAAAGTCCTCCCCTTCTACGTGTTTGCCCCTGCTTATTCCCATATCTCCTCTCCTTTCCGAAATTCCAACTTTACCTTTCTCCGCCCCCACCTCATCACCTTCTTCTTCCTTCATTTATTTGTTTGGCTTCCTGCCCTCTTCTCTAAGCTCTCTGAAATCAGCTTCACTCTCTCCTTCCTCCTCTCCCTCAACCACTTCTTTCTTTTGCTCCCCAGGACAAGGCTCAATACCATGCCATCTTCTCCCTTCATCATGATCCTTAGCTCATAAAGTTCCCCTGCAAACCTTAAACTCATTTTGTTGGGAACATCTGATATCCTTCGCACTTCCACCAACAGTCTTGTCCTGTCCAAAGTGTCCCAAGTTTTGTTTTTATCATCAAATTTCAACAACCTCCCACAGTGCTTCCCTATCTATTCGAAAGTGACAATGCTCTAGGCGTGTAGTGGAATCCCCATGATTGCAATCCAAACAGCTCTTCTCCTTCTTTCTTCACGTAAGTCACCTACCGCAGGAGGGGAACCACCACCCGAGCCTGAGATCAAACTGTCTCACCCTCTTTGCTTCTTCTTCCAATATCTTCTCTGTCCATTCTCTACTGTGGAACATAAAGAGAAACCGACTTCCATTCAGTTTCCTGACCTCCATCACTTTATCCTCTCCCCACTCATGCTTCGCCCAAACTTCTACAATATCCACTTCCAAATCCAATCCAACAAATTGTCCGACCAAGGTCGCTCTCAGCACCATCCTCCTCCAGTTTTCCAACTTTCTTAATGTCCACCAGTATGGTCTCTGCCCTTCTTGTACCCATCCTCTTGTAGCTTTCACAGCATTTGAACAAATTCCTTGCCCCCCCCCCCTTACATCTGACCATAGCCTCTCTACTCCATTCTTCTTGACACTAGGCATCCTTGTACCGGATGGCTTCATAAGTTCCATAGACAGCACCGACAGTGCCACCAATGGCACCGCCCATGACAACGCCTGTGGTGACCTGATGAAGGCAGCTATCACTCATCATGCCTCTTGCTTCTTCTTCTTCTTCTTCTTCTTCTTCTTCCCCCTTTAACACTCTCTCTCATTCTCGCTCTCGCAGCTTTGCATTTTTTCCAAATAAAAAAAAAGTACATGCTAATAGAAGTGCTTGAAGGAGCAAGTGTGATGCATGTGAATCAGATTTACTTGCAGATTTCCTAAAATAAGATGGGCTATCAATTGAATAGAGAACCTAGTCTCACCATGATAAATCAGGAGCAAATTTCTCAGCAAGAATAGCTGCTTTCAGTGCCAATTCCTCACACATTGCAAAGTCTGCTGTGCTGAGATACTGAAAGAGAAAGATATCAGTAGTGTCCTATATCTCTATTTAGACAGCAACTTTCAACATGTTATGTGAAAAACATTTATAGCCAAACAGTGAAACCAGAGAAAAAAGACCATTCTTGTTTTTTCTTTCTAGGCACCTGTAACAACTCTTCGACTATGTCCTTCGCATTTGTAACATCACACATCCCATAAAGCAGATCAAGAGCACGTCTCCGAATGCTGGAAAAGGAATGATGGTGACTCCATAAGTTTTTCTTCCCTTATAAATCATGATATAATTGAAAATGAAGACTCTAGTGCATATAAATTAATGTAATTAACACAGGTCTATGCAAACAGAAGGCTGAATCATAAATTTGCTCAATAACTACCAATGACTAGTTAACAATGTATATTCCACAAACACAACTTTTGAAATTATAGAGCCAGTTCACTAGTGAAAAGTTGTTTCTTTTCCAGATTGATACATCTTTCTTTTCAGTTCTACTTCTTTTATGTTGTCCATGTAAGATATCACAAGATGAACACATGGTGACTTGGTATACTTGCATTGAAACATCAAAGGCAAGGATTAAAATATTGATATGCCCGATACCCTCACATGGGTATCGATGCGTATCAATATGGTTGACATGCTATGCTTTTTGTTTTTTTTTACCTTTTTTTTGTTTTATAGGTATTAGAAGGTCCCATTCATCATCTTAATGTATTAGTGTTTTTTCCTAAATCTTTGTATCAGTGTATCCAAGTCTATCGGGCATCTCGCATCTATATTTTAATCCTTGATCACAGGTAACCATATACTACATAAAGCTGATCTCTGCAAACATTTCTTTTTCTTTTTCTTGTTTTTGCATGAATAGAGGAAATATTTCATTGATAACTAGTAGGAAAAAAAGATGAAATAGTTCCTAGTGTATGATCCCTCCCCCAATTTTAAGTGCAAAAGCAAGAGATGTATCCCTACTTGTCTTTTCATAGTACTGTTATTCATAAAAGTCTTGGAAACAATCTTTCTATATGTGCAAGGGTAAGGTTGCGTACATCTGTCCCTCCCCAGACCCTGCATTGGCAGGAGCCTCATGCACTGGGCTGCCCTATTATTCATACAAGTATCTATAATAGTTATTAATTAGGGATCTTCCCTTTCTATCAAAAACTGGGTGTGCCCAAATCACAACCCAATGCAAATAAATAACCAGAGCATGAGTAGAGGAAATATTTGATTGATAACTAATAGGAACATAAGAAGAAACAATTCCTGGTGCATGATCCCTCTCCCAATTTAAGTGAAAAAGGAAAGACGTGCCCCTTTTGACTTTTCATAGTACTCTTCTTCACAAAATTACTTGTATGGTTATTAATAATAGATATTCCCTGTATTAAAAACTAGGTGCACCCTAATCACAACCCCATATATATAAATAATCAGAGCACCAAAACCCCTATTTTCTAATTCATAGGATATCACTGTTAGAGATGGGCTGTTACTGTTATGTAGTTATTTATATGGGATGGGCCCTTGATGGGAAAAACTTTTGTTTTATTTACTTCAGACCTTGTTCTGATATTGCTTTTCTGGACTAAGAAGTCAACAGGGTATCAGAGCAGTGTCTCTTCTTTTCTGGACTAGATCATGCTGCCTGATTTTTAGAAGATTTTTGTAGAAGAAATCGAATCAGTTTGCTGCCTCAAAGTGAAGTCTAGAGAATTCTGCCCAAAAATCAAGCAAAAAATCAGAGAATTCATTGTTTGCAATGATTGTAGGTCTTATAATCAGATTGGAGGTGGTAAAGTTGGTGCTCAGGTATTAAATAATCAATTTTTATTCTTCTTAAGATGGCCACTTGTTCTGGAGTGTTCTAGGGTGTACCCTATTTCTCCTCTGTTATATTGACACTGGAATTGGAGGAATCAATTTTGCATGGACACAGACACAGGAGTCAGAATCTGATGCATGTGCAAGAATCTGACCCAACAAGATGAGAAAATTATGGACTTGCACACACATCTATGGAAAAGTATATACTATAAAATAGTTAATATTTTTTGAATTCAAACATTACATACCTGAAAACATGTTGCCTTTCTCGCTAAGTAACATTTGATATGAAAAAATGGCATTCATCTTGTATATTAGCTGTTCATTTATGCCAACTAAGCTATTCCCTACTTATATATGCCTTATCCCGGAATAAAGACTGCCTAATTTTGAATTGCATTTCATTTTCTCCTAATGGGAGTAGCTGGATTTGGTCTTGAGATAGGGAGTAAGGGCTTGTGAAACTTCAAACATTATTTCCTTGCTTGAGTTATTTTGGACATTAACCACCTCTAGTTCCTTCTCCTGTGCCGTGTGTATCGTTTTTCAAAACCCTCACCATTTGCTTGAGTTATTCAAGTGTTTCCCCTTCCTTCCTGGTGGGAGCCATTTGGAGAGGTTTAGTACCACACAAAGTTAGGCATTTTGTTGGGAGGTATTCCTAGACAAAATTAACACCTGCAAGAATCTTCAGGGGAAAAAAACCATTCTGGTAACTTTCATCATCCCCACATATTTTTCTTCTATGCAAAGAAAATGGAGAAAGCATGTTTCATTTGCTAATCTCCTGTCAATGTTTATCTATTATTTGGACTTTCTTTCTCTCACAATTTGGCAGCAGCTGGTCTTTGCCTGGGGATCTAAGTAAATTGTTTTCTGGTTCACTTTTCCCTCCACTAAAGAAACATGTGAAGATGCTTTGGAGGTGCACAAGAGCTGCTATTTTATGGTGTAATTGGGAAGAAAGCAATGCATGCCTTTTAAGTAACAACGAGATGCCTGTTGAGGAGATCATAGATTCTATTTCCATCAAAGTAGCACACTTGGTAAAAATTTTGGGTATCTTCTCGCCTTCTACAACAGATGACATCCTACAAAACTGCAAGCAGATGGCTGACTCTTCTCTGATCAAACTGGTTCACAATGCTAATTGGACCCTCCTAGACCAGGCTACATAAAGGTCAATTTTGATGGATGTAGTTTGGGAAACCACAGTTTGGCAGGCATAGGAGTTTTCAGAAATGAAGAAGGAAATGTCATACCTGGGTCCTATTGGGAATGGAGATTCAACTAAGGCAGAATTTTAGGCAATCCTCCATGGTATAAAGATCTGAACATCAGTGACCTAATGAATGAAGGAGATTCAAAGAGCAGTAATTGGTTCATTAAGTGAATCCTATACAATTTCTTGGAAACATAAATACACCATTCAGGAAATCAAGAAGCTGATGGTGGATAATGAAAACTGTACTGAATTGGACTCCACAATCCACTAATGGACTAGCAGATGGATTGGCAAAACAAGGGGCCTTGAGGGATAGCATGTTTTGGGGCCAAATTATGTAATGCTTATGTAGTAGTGTTCTCTACCTTACAGACTGGGGTTAGCCAAGGCTAACCACCATGTGGGGTGTAAGACTTTCTGTACATTTTTCAGTCATTAATAAATTTTTTTACAGTTTCTCATCTAAAAAAATTATGTCAACTAAGCTAGTAAGTGAAAATGAATTGTTACAAACATGTGACCACCAAATCTGTCAAGCGTCAGACTCTGACACATGCCCAACAGACACGTCCATTTAGGAGAGTCCATGCAACACTAGGTGGAACTCAGAGAAATTGTGATAGTTCTTGGCTGTAGGTCAAGAATATCTTTCCTAATCTATATGAAGGCATTGCTGGAGTTAATTTCAGATTGTTTGATTATCATGACACCTACTGGAACAGATTTGAAGTAAGTTGTAGAGCATGGTGTTGTTCTAGGTAGTGTCGGTGATATCAAGGGAGGTGTCGTCACTACCATTAAACTGGATGGCATGAATTATTTGCAATGAGCTCAGTCAATGCGCACTGGTATTAGTGATTGTGAGAAATTGGGTTAAATCACTAGGAATGCTGTTGAGCATGGTTTCTCAGACCCTCATCACCTAAAATGGACTCAAGAGAATTGCATTGTTTGGGATGGAGTCAGCACAGGAGGTTTGGGGTCGAGTTCCAAGGGCTTACTCTTGGCCATTGGATGTTGCTAGAGCTTACCAGCCTAAGCTACAGGTGAATACTCTCAAGAAAGGGGAGATGACTCTTGCTCTTTACTGTCTACTCTACAGACATACTGGCAAGAAATTGATAATGTAGATACCTACAGGTGTTTGGTTGATATGAATTGAATCTTTGAGTTCCTTGCTGGTCCCAATCCAAGTACAATATTACTGGGCAGCATATCTTGACACAAGGAGTTTCAGAGATGTTATGAATTTGACCTTTGTAAAAAGTCGGGAATAGCCTATGATAAACCAATGCAACTTTATTGTGACAATTAGGAAGCTATTAATATAGCCCATAATCCAATTCAGCATGACAGGACCAAGCATATTGAGGTTGATGGGCACTTTATCAAATAGCGTATGATTAAAAAAGAAGTTTGTCTATCTTATGTTGGTACAAATGAACTAGCTGATATATTCACAAAAGATGTCAATAAAGTGAAGCTTGATTGTTGTATAGGAAAGCTAGGCATGATTAATCTTTGTGCTTAACTTCTATACAGCAGTTCATATGAACTAGGCCCTTGATGGGCTGAACTTTTGTGTTATTTATTTCTTTATTTGCTTCCACCCACTTATGGACAGAGTGGTCTCTTTATTTTTATTTTTAAATTCACTCTTATAATCAGATGAATGGGGTGGAGAACTCATCTGTTCTTGCTCTCCAATAACAGTTTCAGTTCCAACACTATTTCTACTAGTTTTTTATAATTAAAATTTGAGTATTTCAGATCTGTTTTTGATACTCTGTCCTGAACTAAAAAAAAAAAAAACAAACAAACAAAGTACACTATAAATCCTGAATGGGAAATTGGCAACTTGAGGAGAGAGATAGAGATAGCTTCAAATTTAAGAGCAACAGAAATTAAAATATCAATTATTTGTTTTATGTTTAACCTAATATCAGGATCCTTCAATGAGGTGATGATTTGGGCCTGGTGTTTCTTAATAATATCCTGCACATCTATTACCATCAACATCCTAGTCATGTTCTCCTGCAAAAGAGCAACAGGACATTAAACTATGAAGCTGTATCTAAAATTTCCAATACAACACAATATGTTTGTTTGTTATGCATGTAGACTACAGAAAGGTCAATTATCTCTCTCTCTCTCTCTCTCTCTCTCTCTCTCTCTGTCTCTGTCTCTCTCTAACAGCCTAACCTAGTACTCCTATTTAGCCTACCTCAGAGAAAGAAGATGCAATAAATAGATCCAAGATATTTCCATTGCTTTTGCAGTCAAGAAACAACTTACAAGACCAAGATATCGGATATTTGGCTCACGAACAGCAATAAATTTACCAAGCAGAGCAACACATTGAGACATCATCTCCTTTTCAGCATCAAGGTGCATGACCTATCATAAAACATTTAAAACAAACAGAGCCATAAGAATAGGTTGAATTAGAAACATCAGTATTTACATACTTGAAAACAACCTGAACTTGACTAAGAACCAAGAGAAAAATAAAAGGAAACCAGAAAGATAGAAAGAAGAGAAGAAAACAGGGTTTGGTTCAGTTCAGAAAAAATCTCCTAACTGCCACCCTGCTTATTTCATTATATAATATAAGACAAAATTACAAAAGTATCCCTGATTATGTAAAATAAAGACAGTAATGCTCTGTTGCCAATAATTCCAACACTCCCCCTCAAGCTGGAGCATATATATCATAATGTTCCAACTTGTTGCAAATGCAATCCATCCTTAAGAGACTTGAACTTCTGGTGAAGATATTGACTAACTGATCCTTTGGCCTGACATATGGGGTAACGACCTCACCACTTGCAACTTTCTCTCTCTGACATATGGGGCAACTGATCCTTAGACTTTTCTACAGTTCTAGCTTTTTTCCATTCTTTGTAGAATGCTTGTTTTAATCTAATTATATTTTGAACCTCTTCATTCCACAGCCAAGTTTCTTCAGTACCTTGCCACTTCCCTTTATATTTCTCCTAAGACATCCTTTGCTACTTTATATTGTTTGCCATTCAAGCCAAATATCATTAATCTTTCCATCTAAATTCCAATTCCCTTCTATAATCAATTTGTTTTTAAATTGAGCTAGCTTTTATCCTTTCAGGCTTTCCCACCTAATTCTTGGACACCAATTTTCTTCCCTATTTCTCTTCCATTTCCTAATGCGCACATCTACCACCATTAGTCTATGTTGTGTTGTTAGGCTTTCTCCCAGAATAACTTTGCAATCTTTACACATCATTTGTTTTGTTCACCTCATAAGGAAAGATATCCGAAAATGAACAATATATCTCTTAAAAATCATAGAAAAAATCTAGAAAAATAATGAAAAATACACTTGAAAATCCTTCATTGAAAGATGGAAGGAGCTCCCACAACAGGTGTTGTATAGAGTTGAGCTCCCATGACCATCAAAGACTAGGTTTTTCTTCTGTACCCGAGAACAGCGCAAGATTAACCTGGCAACATATCTAAATTCAATTCGAGTAACTGCAGCCCAGTGCAAATGAAGGAGATGAAGGAGTTTTTCAGGTCAGTTTCAAAGTGGAGAAGAGATGTCAAGGTAGAAGCAAAGAGTTTCTTGTTCGAAGAATGTAAACTACAGGGGATTACATCCTTGAAGGTATGTGAGGAAAAAAGAGCATCAATCTTCTTAGTCAGAGAAGCAATGCAATGGATAAAGGGGTTTGTAGATGGCACAACCTACTTTGTGAAAAGGTTGGGATGGAAAAGCAATCTAGATCGATCGGGGAAGAGATATATGGCTGAACTTCGATGGAACCGAAAAGGTTTGTTTATCACAGTGACATAGCGTAGAGATAGTGAGAAGATCTAGCCACAGGGCTATTTTTGTACTTTTACTTCTTTTGTTGTACATCTATTTTATGTACTCTTTCTTTTGTACACTAAGGGAAGATTTGTCCTTTTACTTTCTTTAATATAAATATCTCTTTTGGGGTGTTGACAGTCACTAAGTGACACACCTACCAATCTGCTGTGTTCTCTTCTCTCTCTCTCTGTCTTTTCGATCTAACTCTGACATGGTAACAAAGCAGGTCATGATCTGATCTGCATATAATCCCTTTTCAACCCTTTTCTTCTCTGCTATCTAGAGTACTCCCTAACAGTATTTGGGAGGCTCTCGAGTGCCCTTGAATCCCTCCTCTGGGGCAGCCTTTGATCAGAACTCTACAGACAATTTTTCTGGACTGTTGCGCCATCAGATTACTCTTTTTTGTTGGATCTCCTTGTAGAGACATTGGATCAGGCTGAAACTTAACATCTAGTGTCGCCCAGAGCAGATCTACTGATTCTAATTGGTTTGGATTGGATCAGATTTGATTTAGAAGGGTTTTGAGCCACTTCTGAGTTCGGCAGACCCTTACAGTTTCCTTTTCTGGACATCGGCTGAAAGGTACCACTTTCGTTCTTCTGATTTGAACCCTATCTTTTGCTTAGAAGTGTGGTTTTCTATCTCTTGTGATTCAATGGCATCAAAAAGGATGGAGGTTCTCCCTATTAAGTTAAATGGTACGAAATATGCACTATGGAAGTTTAATTTTCAATTTCTTGTTGAGGCAAAAGGTCTTTGGGGATATATGGATGGATCAGTAGCTAAACCTGATGATTCAAATATTAAGGGTCTTAATCAGTGGAATATTGATAATGCGAAAATCGCATCATTGATCCTAGAATTAGTTGAAATTGACATTGCAATCCTTATGAAAGGATACAGGACTGCCTATGAGATGTATGAGTATCTTGAGAAAGTATATCAGCAATCAAACACCTCTAGACAATACCAAATAGAGGTTGACATCTTCTCATACCATCAAGGAGAAAGGGAGGTCCAAGAACACTATGTGGGGTTTATTAACCTATGGACAGAGTATGAGTTGTTAGACAGTGTATGCCCTTAGCTCCAATCAGATTGATATACATTATGACATTTATTGTAAATGAATAAAGTACATATTTGATTCATGTTATTGTGGTGTGTTTCTGTGTAATACCCTTAAACTGGACACATAAT